CGTTTACCTTAGGAACCTCGATTTCGCATTGCTTTAAATAAAAGCTTAATGTTGATTCTCATTTGTAGTTGTTTTCTAATAAATCATCCAGCACGTATACCTCCACTTTAGGGTAGTTGCAAGTTGCTAAATCATTAGTCAAAAATCAGATTTTTCGACACACTGAATACCAGATATGGCTTCTGGTTACAGAACATGACAAAAATATTACTAATGTTTTCGACCAATTTGGTTACTTCTCTACAGTTGCACTCCATCTGAATAAACCCTAACTCAATATGCATTGCTTTCCTCCTCCTTTGGATCCTGGTTTTTCACCAATTTTTAATGGTATGACATTGTTTTCATTCCGATGCCAGACACCACTCACTGTAATCTACGTTGTACGCACGATGAAAGGTGATTTAGCCCCTTGCTTATACGGTTCCAATCAAACCAATCAGTGGGCAAATAGGAGCCAAATAAGAAATTTTATGCTGCTGAACAACATGTGAAAGTTTGAAGAAAGTTGCACTATTGTAGCGTTTGAGGGAGGCAAGGAAACCAAACTCTCCTTTACGATCTAATCTCAGGCAGTCAGGGTAGTGTGAATAATCGCTTCTTCCCCTAAAAAAAGACAGAACTGCAGCACACCACTCAGAATTTTTTTTTTATTTTCAGTCGATGTATTATGAATAACAGAAATAAGGGCCCACATGATATATTACCTATAATGCATTTTGTATCAAAATCTTTGGCCATCAGACTGTTTTTTGTGCTTATTAACTTGAGGCTGACATGACATGAACTAAGATTAGCTTGCATTTTCCATTGCCAACGTCACGGCTATTGCTCATAAGGTAGGTTTCAGTTAAAATGAAATTACAATGGAACTTAAAACGACTGGCGCCTCTTAACTAGACTTTAATTTGTTTCGACCACTTTTGGACAGGGTCATTAATGGTCAACAAAGTTGTGCAAATATCACGTATTTTAACGTTTACATGGAAGTGTCATTTCAAATCTAGTTAGATCAGCTTTACGCATTTTGCTTGTAGCTCCACTCGCCTAACATTTAAACTTCTGTTCTACTGTCCCTCTAGGTCGTGGAGGATGTCTATATCCATACCACAACAAATTAATTGCCCTCTATTGTCATGCTCTTAACATAGTGAAATATCGAGGTTACCGGAATCCCACTTTAACATTTCCCAATTCCAAGTGTGAAACTATTCTTTTGGTGGGCATTACCAAATTTGGCTTGACCTACTACTGGGTTTTAATTTACTGAATTAGTAAACCGTAAATCCAATATCATTCAAACCGATCTAACCTTTTCGTGTTTGCAGATGACTGATCGAGAAAGGGAATAAATCTAACTAATGCAGCAACTCGCACCGCAGGATGGCTTATAAGGTAAGAGGTGGGAGAACAGCTGGCGTTGCTCCAAATTCACTTTTCATACACTTAAAATTAAAACGGTTAATTTTTCAACGTTCAATTTTTACGCTTTTCTTTAAGTACACTGCTAATGCAATCAGCAGACACTACACCAACACAGACAACTGGAAGCTGTAATAAAGGAGGAGTGGGCAAGAGTCCAAGTAAATTTGCTGTTTGATCAAAGGGTTTCAAACTGCAGAGTAGAACACCGACACTTGCAAGAGTTGCCGACCTGGTCTAATACGAGGCAAGAGATGTGCATTTCCGGTCTGTGCTAACACAGAGGCAGAAATACAGCATCTTGATACAGCTCCTGCCTATACATCAACTTACCTGGAGAAGACATCAACTGACTCTGACAACCTGCTCATTTCCCGTGCTGCAACACGTGAAGATAAGCCAAAAAACAATCTCGAAAACTAGTTGATGTGCTTCTTCCATTGATGAATTTTTAAGAACCGTGTTAGGCCAAGGAAATGGAAACATTTTTTAAGCGTTCCACTTACCAACTAAGACAGCTTGATAAGTGATTTTAGAAATGTATCATTAGAAGCAGAATACAAAGTAATCGTTTGTTCCTACTTTTTATGTTTAATGCACGAAATAATTACATTAACTTATGCAGACCGTGAAAAGTTATGGGTACAATTCACAGCTCGTGAACAATAAATTTATATCTCATAAATTTATAAAGGCATCATGATTCGCATGGAAATTGTCCAAGCAAAATATTCGAACAAGCTTCTGCCACAAGAAGTAAAACGCCAAGGAAGTCTTAGAGGTCGCTTTTTAAAACATGAACGTGTGTTGCACTTCCACAGGCCCCAAATTACTTTTAATAGCACATTTACTGTTCCCCAGTGGATCACTGCACTGCCTAACCAACATGCTTCAAAGTAGGCAGTCGACTTCACCCTGTATCCATAGTGGAGAGTAATAACATGCTCCACAGGTGTTATTTTAAATGGGCTTAAGCTGCAAAAGGAAAGATGAGTGTCGTTTCGTCTCAATTCCCCATTCAGATCTCAAATCGTAGTGACATATTTACATTAAGCCGATACCAAAACGTGAAGACATTCCAATGTCATCGTCTTAATTTGAACCATAAAACTATATCGCACATTGACGACGATGTTATAGATGTACGAAAGGCATAAAACGGTGATAAATTACAGAGTTTTGTGTGTGAAATAAACTGATAAATCCATTTCAAATAATTCCATCATACCATCTAAAATAACACATTGCAATCCTCGCTGATTCCCCCCAATCCAATCTTAGGTCACTCTTTAGACACCATATAAAGTTGAAATAAATACGACAATCCATTTCATTTCGGCCGAAGCATGTCAGTTGGAATATTTACGCCACTTTTAAAATATGTTGCAGTTTTCCCCACTTTTCTTACTATTAAAAAAAACGGTTTTCACAGTGCTCACTTGATAAGGGACTGGCACTCTCTGACACCAACCAAAGATAGGAATATTAAACCGAAATGCGAGGAAGTGGAAAAAACATGGCAATCCCTTTGCTTTTAAAATATAATCTAAATTTAATTTGTGATAAGGAGCTATGTCTCCACAAAAAATCAAACTGTAGTCTATTTTTACAATACGCATCCCCAAAATGACCGTAGAAACCTACGATGCAGGAAAATTCGGTAGCAACGAAAAAAGGCAATTTTGGGAAGACAGAGATCTACAGCAGCTTGAAAAAGCTCTTTAACATAGTATTGACTGCATTAATAGTTTCCTCCGTGAGAGCTGCCACTCATCCCAAGAAAATGAGAATTTGAGACGTATTCTTCGCACCTTCTCAAAAACAGGCTGGCATTTATTCTCGAGTTTATGTTTTGTAAATGAATGGTTTTGGTGCTCTGAGAGAGGGATGACGCTCCCGTTGGGATCCTATTGAAATTCTGGCAATGTGAAAGAGAAAAGTATGGCATAATAATTTAACACTTCTCTGTGCTGGTGCATCTATCCAACTGCAGGTACACATAAGGTCATATTCAAATCGGTCGTAAACGATTTCGGAAAAATTGAAAGATAGCGGCCACCTCCGTACTTGTCTTTGGATTATTTCACTAAGTAAACATATAGAAAATTGGGAAATTCAAAAACGAAATTTGGAAGTAGGTATTGTTTTGCGAACCAGACAAACATTTTGGCTAATTGCAATGGAAGGTATATTTGGTTGCATATTGCAGAATGAAGGAGTCATTGTTATTTTAACGACGTTGAAGGTAAAGCGTATACAAATGGCCAACAAGCCAACAAGTCAGTAGGCGACCGTGTGTCCAAAGCCAAAATATGGCATCAATCTAAAGTAGAAAATACATGCTTTGAGGAATTGTGAAACTTTTGCATGAGCATTCACTGTAATTATTTTTCTGAGATTAAAGACAATGGAGTTAGCTATTTTGTGATCGCCATTGAGAAGAACTTTCCCTTCTTCTCCATTGGAACGCTCACAGTTAACGATTGAAGTAGGATGATTTAAATGGCTTCCTTAATTCTACTGAACTTAGCGGTAGTAAAAGCTGAAATTAGCGAGCTTGCAAATCCAGAAAAGGTGGATATTTTTCCATCTGCCGAATGCCTCATTACCAGTAATTACCATTTCCGTTGCAGAGAGACGTGTGTTCATTTCCACAGGCAACTTTAATTATACATTATCAATGCGAGGGACATAAAAAGACTATCATGGATGAGAAAAGTTGGTGATTAGCAGGTATGAGAGAATTTGTGGGAACATGACTTTCAAAGTGAGAGCCTTGCCCACTAGAATTTCACCGAGTTGTTTCTGCAATGTTAGCCGTTTGCTGATTTCGTGTTTTTTTTCTTTGACTTCGGCTGGTCGCGGACAGCCTAAGTGACGAAGTGGGCCTGGTGGAGTAGGTTCTAGTATGCACTGAGGCCGCATGGGCTGCAAAAGAAGTGATTGTAGCAGATGCTGTAAGTGATGGATGGTTCATGAAAATTTGATCCAGTCCTTAAAAAGGCATGAATGGCTTTTAAATCAACCTTAATGATAAAATTATTGCAAAAATAATTGCCTCCTAACTTCACCAAAGTCAAGTTCATCAGAGAGTATCAGGGTCAGGGACTAAAAATGACTCGAATAGATTTTTTGTGGTTATTCTCAAACACACCAAGCGATGTTAAAAAGGTGGGAAGTTTAGGGCTGCAAATGACGTTTCTCACACTGTTAACGCTAATGCGTGTCATTAAAGGGCAGAGAGTGGTCCTACAAATCCATTGTTTACAAAATCCATGAAAATAATAACAAAATGACCATAAAAATAATGCAGCCCCAATTCACGATTTTTTTTAATTTTTCCTCATCTTATATTTGTCAAAATGGCGATTAGAATTGTGAGACTTCCTTGGTCCAATTCACGATTGGTCACTAGCGTCGTAAATAAAGTGACAACGAAAGGCTCCATCGCTCATCACATTAAATTAGCCAAACGTCGGTGAAACTTCACCACCCTTCAGGAAACGAATGCGTAAATTCCCTAAAATAATTTCAGCAAGGTGGTTGCGACGTGACTATTTGCTTGTACATGCAAGTAGCTTTTGGATTGCTATGAACAGTTAGTTGGTCACTTCCCCGGTCATCTAATGAGTAGAAAATAACAAAATCAAATTTGTGCATAGTACTGTGCTCAAACTAAAGTTGAAAACTCACTACCCAATTGTTTCTCCGTCTCCTCAAAAGCTTGTAGAATTGAATAAGGTTATCGGCTCTCCGAAAGTGTGAACTCACTAGGAATACTGAAAATAGATGGGTATGCCGTTAAATGCATGAAATTCGTCTTCTACACATCTTAAAACTACGAGATTGGATTGCTAGGACTTAATTAATAGGACCCTGTGCAGTGAGGCTTCTATGCAGTTCCAAGTATTCAAGTGTTTGCGTCAGATGAAAAATGCTTTGCTAAACGTTGTTCCATTAAAAACCCTAAACCTTCGAAATTCTGAGACTTGTTTGGTTTATCACTAGGATTTTTCGAAAGTTTAGGGTGGGAGGTAGATTCTGCCTCCCAGAAATATCGAGCCGTTTCGTAAGCGCCCTAATTTCATCAGGATATGCACTCCAGAACGGGTTTATTATCTTGCTTTTCTGGCATTCTTGAAGTTCAAAAAGCTTAGTGAACCCGGAATAAGGTAATTTAGTTTCACATAAGCCACAAAACTGTGAATTCATTATAAATTAGGAGTCAAGAGGCCTCCGGACCGCCCATGGATGACGAAGTGCACTGAAGGGAAATATGCGCAAGCACTTGGCCATCCATTGCCCATCACACTGCATACGTACCCACACGCTAGGCCATGCACGCACCCGTCAGCTCGTCCGTCCTCCTGTGTGTCTGTCTCACGCGCCTACGCGCAACGAACGAAGATGCACCTGTCTGTCCATCGCGTGGTGCGGCGCACGTATCAACACGCACACACGTGCGCACGCAAATGGGCACACGAGCCAACACACCTATGAGACCACGAGGCGCGCGACAACTCATAGTCGGGAAACAGGTGTCTGGTAGCGCACTCAAGGTGGCATCGCCCCTGCTGAGGGAATTAACTCTTCCGTGCAAAAGGGTAAGTAAGCGTCAACTTTATTTTTTTGCTCTTCCCCACTGGTCTTAGCCTTAGGGTGCTCATAAATCGTTTTAATTTGCACGCCCAACCCAAAACGCTGGTTTCACTGACGAAAATCATAACAGAATGTGTCGTAACAAATGACTGAGGTATTGTGACTGAACTGAATTAACTTGGTCTTGCCCTCATTTAAAATGCACGTCGTTAAAAAAAATAAGTAGAAAAGTATGAAGTTTTAGTAATTTTGCTAAACTACCTTACCAAGTAAGATTACTTTTCCAAATCTATGGGCCTATACACTAGCGGAGTATTTATTACCCCAAAAAACCAAAGCTATAAATTAATTCAATTCAGGGGGGTAATGAGCATCATTTCGTTTCCCTAATCAGAGTTCCCGTGGACTGATAATTGTGTTGATCTGCGCACGAAACATGCTCGAAAGTTATTAAAATAACCTATATATCAAAAAATTTAATCTAAGCCCATTAGAATGAATGGAGATGGGAATGTGCTGACATATGCTACTAAATAGACTAATGTCT